TTATCAGCACCACACTCTAACATAATCCAATTAGTTGAGCTAGTTTGCCAGCCCCTTCACCTACTTTGAAGGACCTATACTGTTTCATTTTTCGTTTTACTCCCACTCCCACTTCCTGGGATTATGTCTCCAATAAACTGTTTGCATTCCAAGTCTTTGTGTCAGCCTCCACCCAAGAAACAAGGACATTCTGTTTGACTCTTATCTGATTCTCCTGGGTGAATGTAAATTATCAAAGTATATTTTTGACTGATAATTTGCAAATGAGAAAGGTGCACACTTCATGTATTCCTGAAGGTTAGTGGTTATTTAACTTAAAGAAGAAGATAAGTGTTATGTTTCTGTAGCCCAGTAGAGATGATATTAATGTCATACTTGTATTGCATTCTAAAAAGTCAATTAACTTAGAAATCATATTCAAGTTCCTTCTACAACTGTTCTTCACCTGATCTGTTGTGTGTCTCACTGCTATTCCCTTACTGAGGTAAGTAAAAGTTTGACACATACTCACTATTTGTTTGCACGAGACTTACATTTTTTAGCAACAAGCAAGCAATAAAAACTACATTATGACTTTTGCCTGGCTGAAAGTGATTGTAAGACACTGCTGACTACAATTCACTCCAGTTTCAGATATAATACCAGGTATGTCAAAATGTTTGTGGGAAAATAGAATTTAAAATAATATTATTCTCTTCATGAACATTTTGAAGTACCCTCATACAATGAAACGTATTTGATTTGATGGGGTAGCGGTTGTCAAACTCTTTTTAATATAAATGGGATTGTCTCCAAAATGCAAATTATTAGGCTCCATTCTTTAAAACTGCAGAAGTAGTTTTCACACTCTCCTCCAACTCACAGTCCAAATGTGCCAACCACGTTAGAAGATATAGCTGCATTTTGTGAGGCCGTGAGGAAGTCCCAAGTCTCTAGAGCCCCAGCATGGCGCAGAAGAGGAGACGGAACTCCCATTGCCTGCTCCTTGCACCCTCCTTACATCAAAGGGCTTAGAAGTATTGGGAGAAGGCCAATGGATAGTAAGGGACATCAAGGTTGTGAAGATGGGGCTGGCTGGTTAGCCCAGTTGGTTAGAACATAGTGCTGATCACACCAAGATCCAGGGTTTGATCCCTGTACCAGCCAACCAAATAAATTTTTAAAAGGTTGGGATGAAGAGAACACAGAGTAAGCATTCTGACAAGTGGAGACCATTAAAAACTTGGACAATAGAAATGCCGAAAACCCCTCCCCGACAGCTTTCTACACATGATAACAGCCTCTGGAATTTAGAGGCCACCCTGTGGAGAAGGAAAGGAAGAGAAAATCCAGACTGTATCTAAAATGATCAAGAAAGACATTAGGACCGAGTTCACCTGGAACTAAGATATTTTCTGCCACTAGGCAGAACAGCAGACCAAAATAGACTCTGAGTTCAGTTATTAAGAACTCAAGTGATATGTTTGCACCCCTGAATTGTGAAATATGTGCTGAAAACACCATACCACCCCCCACTGCGTGGCCCTCAAATTCAAAAGCAAAGAAGCAAACAAAACATCAAGAATTTATTCCACGATTAGGTATTTCATAGTGAATTTTACTCACCAGAAATGGAACCACTCTCAACCTTGTACCACACTTAGTCTTTGACTTTCATGCAAAGTTTTAGGAACAAACTATGTAGGAAAAGTGGGATTGCATGTGTAATGGAATTCAGTCCATAAATATAACAATATCTTGTACTGTTTTTGGAGTTTACAGAGTCCATATCATATACATTAACTCACTAAATCATGACAATAGCTCCATGAGGTAGGTATTCTTGAATTTACAGGTGAAATACCTGAGATTTAGAGGAAATAGTCGTGACAAAACAGGGACTCAAACCCAGGCCCTCGGATATACATAATTTGATGTATATCACATACTACAAATAGAAAAGACTAACAAGTATTTATAGTCAACCCACCAAGCGAAAGAGAAAAATTAGGCCATTAAACACATCCTTCCAGTTTTTTCTTGCAATAGCTTGAAAACTGACTTCTTGATCTGTGGACCTGTTCATCTGTGAGATGCTGGTGATTACCTCATTTTTATAAATTTCAAATTATACCCCATTTTTTTTCAATTTTTTTCTCAGGCTTTCAAATTCTGATAAATACAAAATTTAGGTAAAAGAGCAATATATGAGTATACATCATAATAAAAACCTTCATTAGATTCTATTGCTCTTGGCACTCCCAAGACACGATCCCCTCTTGTTAGCAAAGTTGAATACTTACATATGTTGCCTTTCATGAATAATCATGTGAATCCTGGTATATAAGGAGTTATTGTTAAAATTTCACATGAAATTGTTAACAAGAAATCAGGTACTTACTGATAAGCATTTTGGATTTATATAATTTTCTTGTTGACAGAATACAGTTGGTT